AAAAAAACATCACAGTAATCCACAAGTAATCCACACCACTCCAGTCCATCATCTTGTTAAAAAAACTGCATGTTTGTCATAAAAATGTCTTGATGAATTTACTTCATTTCAGACAATTGTTTCTGGCAAAAATATGAGTCCTCTATCAATAATATTGCTTTCTCCAGTGAAAAAGTCGTCTTGTCTGAATCAGGACAGAAATATGTCCAAAACAGTTCACAACAAATAAATATGTGGCTGGATTTTGATGTGAGAGGACAAACAGAGGATGGACTTTTTCACTGGAAGAAGCGTTATTATGGATTAGTGACCCGTATTTTGGCCAGAAGTGATGATTTAAAGTTAAAACACCTTAATGGTGGATTTGTTTCTTTTTTCACAAGACTTTAACTGATGGACTGGAGCGGTGTGGATTACTTGAGGATTATTGTGATGTTTTTATCAGCTGTTCGGACTCTCATTCTGACGGCACCCATTCACTGCAGAGGATCCATTGGTGAGCAAGTCATGTAATGCAACATTTCCCCAAATCTGTTTCTGATGAAGAAACAAACTCCTCTACATCTTGGATGACCTGAGGGTGAGTAATTTTTCAGCAAATTTTCATTTTTGGGTGAACTACTCCTTTAAGAACTGATCACTGAAAGGTTCTTTGGGGAAGCAAAAATGGTTCTTCTATGGCATCGCTGCAAACCCCACTATTGGAAGCTTTACTTTTGAGAGTGCACTTTCCTCGATTAAAAAATGAACAATAATCAGACTGCATCTTTCAATTTGCCAGAAAAGCACTTAGGATGAAGAGGCAGGAGTGACAGAAATAGGCTATATACAATATCATGACTTCAGCATCAGGGACTCCCCAGAGCTCTGCATTTTCATTTCCGCTCCTCAAGTTCAGTAAAAGCATGCTAATCATTTACACTCCAATGTGCTTGTGCATTCAGGGAATACGGGAGCATAATCTACTGAGTGAGTGACTCACGCTCATTATTAAAACTTAACCACAGCCCCTCGACTGATCCGCATTCACCAACCTGGAGTCCAGCAGTGCCAGCAGCTCGCCCGCGTGGTACAGGTCGTTGCGTGTGATCCTGCTGAAGCGGATGGAGTTGAGATTGCAAATCGTCACCGCTGGGAAAACCATCACGGGCGTCGTGATCTCGTCCAGCTTGGTGACGTGAGGGTACTCCAGGTAGAACTGAATCCGATCGACGCAGACGTACATGAGAAAGGTCAAGGAGCTGAGGAAAAACACCACCCAGAGGCAGCATTTGGCCGTGATCTTCTCATAGGAGAAGATATGAGAGATGCCGTGTAGAGTCGAGGTGTGAGCGAACACTTGGAGGGGAGGCGGCTGGTCGTAATCAATGTCCATAGCTTCCACTTTAAGATCCATCACTGATGTCTTCATCACACAGTTCTTCCACTGCAAAGCTGTGAAACTCTCCCTAAGATGTTAAACACAGTGGGACACGTTTTACTTCAGTAGTGGGTCATCGTTCGGCAAAGCTGTCATTTTGGGATGAAACTCTATTAAGCTGGGCTGGAAACTGAAAGGTTATTGGTTAATCTGTGAAATGTCACTACATGTTCTTTACAGTGGGATTTTAGTATTATTAATTTAGCATTATAGCTTTTTTTTTATTTTGAATTACCTTTTAATTTTACATTTTTCGTTTGAATTTTTTGTTAGTTTTAGTCATTTTGTTATATGTTTTTGTCATTTTTATTAGTTATTTATTTCTTTTTAGCTTATTTTATTTTTATTTCAGTTTTAGTTTTAGTCATTTTAGTACTTCAAACCCAAATTTCCGAAGCAACATTTCTAATTGTCATTTAAGTTTTTAAGTTTTCCATCTAATATTATAGGTATTTAATCATCTTTCATTTTCATATTTTATCAATATTATGATCTATTTAATATTTTATTTCAGCCTTATTTCCCAAAATGATTGTGAAGTTAGGTATTTTTAATTAAGCTATTATGTGAAGCAATTTGACATTTTATTTCACATCACATATAATAAATACGTTTTGCATCTATATATTTATATTTTGTTACAACTTTATTTTAATTACCAAAAATGAAAACTATTTTCGATAGTTTTATTTTTTTTTTACTAACAATAACAACACTGGTTGTTGATATGCAAATCAAGTTACTCTCAGAAAACTGTCTATAAGAAGTGAAATGACTAATTATCAAACACAATGTCATCTTGGCATCTCCCTAAAAACAAACAGGCTATTTTACAATATCAGGGGCCTTCAACAGGGGGCCTGTCAATTATTGTCTGTAGTAAAAATGTAGTCAAATTAAAACATAATGTGCAAGTATAAGACTTTGTACATCAATGCTTCTTCTCTGTATATAGTTCAAACACCTACAGAGAGCTTGTAAAGGGCGATTTGCTGCCTATGCCAAGTTCCCAATAGCATTTAATTATAGTCTACAGACCAGCTGACAGGGAAATCTCATAATCAGAACAACATATTGCAACCCAAAATCAAATATGTTTGCATAAAGACAATTAATTGCATTCATTTGTGACATTTTCATGACAATAAATCAGGCACCCATTCTCATCATTACCATGATGCAAAATAGATAGATAGATATGATAAAATTTAATTGTGCGTACAGGATCATTCTTATTACTGCATTACAATCTAATGAGAATAAAAACCTCAAAAGCTAAACATCTGGACTCATTTACGTCAAGAAAACTGGGTGTGAAATGTGCTCAATTTTATTAAAATAATGTCACAACCTGTTTTTATACAGTCTATGGTCACACAACTTAAAAAATAATAATGGTACAAAAAATCTTCTCATTTTAATGTTGGGGCGAAATGCGACCCGGACATGTTTTCGTGAAATTCAGCTTTCGTGAGAAGCACAATCTCAGGTGAAACCCGCCAAATCACGATCCGCTCTTTTGGCTCGCTACATTGAATCACTCCACAGAATCCCACAGAATCCCGCAGACAGTGAAAGCGAGCGACAGGGACTGTAACAGCAGCGTCACTTGTAGCGCACGAGCGTTTACCTGAAGCACCTCAGAAAGATGCTGGACCTGAAAACCGATGCCAGTTATCCGAACATTGCTCCGGCGTTCGTGCAGAAATCAGCTCCATGTTTTGGACATACCATGGTAATGCCAGGTTTTCAGAACAAGTACATGGCAATATCATAAATGACATGCCATCATGACATCCAATGTACTGCGACTTTACCATATATCAGATGGTAATACTATATTGAAATACATGTACCATGGTATCTACATGGTACTCCATGGTACATCAGAGTAAACCATGGCACTATAATTGTACATGTCTAAAATATTATGGTAGTGTCATAGTACATAGTAGGCAATGCCGTGGTACTTTTTGGGCAAATCTTTGTAAGTATAGCCTATTTTGTTTATTGGACATATGTGACCCTGGACCACAAAACCAGTCATAAGGGTCAATTTTTCGAAAATGAGATTTATACAGCACATGAAAGCTGAATAAATAAGCTTTCCATTGATGTATGGTTTGTTAGGATAGGACAATATTTGGCCGAGATACAACTATTTGAAAATCTGGAATCTGAGGGTGCAAAAAAATCTAAATATTGAGAAAATCATCTTTAAAGTTGTCCAAATGAAGTTCTTAGCAATGCATGTTACTAATCAAAAATTAAGTTTTAATATATTTACAGTTACAAAATATCTTCATGGAACATGATCTTTACTTAATATCCTAATGATTTTTGGCATAAAAGAAAAATCTATAATTTTGACCCATACAATGTATTTTTGGCTATTACTACAAATATACCCCAGCGACTTGAGACTGGTTTTGTGGTCCAGGGTCACATATACCATGGTAATACCATGGTGTTCCATGTACCCTGGAGTATGTAAATGCTATGGTATAGTAGTAATTCAGTACCATAGATATATGGTACTATAGAATGCTGTTAATATTATGGTACTTTTTGGGCATGTTTTTGTAATGTTGTAGCCTGTTTTGTTTATTGGACATGTATCATGGTAATAATACCATGGTATTCTACTGTACCTTGGAGTATGTAAATACCATTGTACAGTGCATAAATATAGTTATTCAGTACCATAGTACAGTATATGGTATTTCATAGAATACCACGTTAATACCATGGTATTTTTGAATGTGTTTTGTAAGTATAGTAGCCTATGTTGTTTATCAGACATGTACCATGGTAATACCATGGCATTATATGAAGTACAGTACCTTGTATTATGTAAATACCATGGTGCATAAATATAGTAATTTAGTACCATGGTATATGACACTATATATAATACCATGGTACTTTTTAAGTACATTTTTGAAAGTAGAAGCCTATTTTGCAGCTATTTTTTTCTGCACATGTACAATGGTAATTCCATGGTATAAAGTATCATATATTTAAGCACCATATATGATACTTCACAGAATACCATGTTAATACCATGGTACTTTTGAGTACATTTTTATAGTAGCCTGTAGCCTTGTTTTTTTTAAAACATGTATCTTCGTAATACTGTGGACAGTGTTTTTCATAAAGTTAAGAACAAGCACTTTCAGCAATTTATTATTATATTATTTTATTTTATTTTATTTTATTTTATATTGTTCTCAATACAAGTTGAGCCAGTATACCAGTTTAAAAGAGGTCTGACCATCGCATGACATCTTTGGTTAAATAGCCACATATGATAGCATTGCTGCTAAGTAAATATTAATTACTTGAGATTAAATATGAATGGCACATTTTTTGAAGTGGATCCGGAGTGAAATGCTCACATCACTCTGACAGGTGTAAGGCTCTGCATATGTGATCACACACACACACACACACACACACACACACAACACTCTCTCAAAATCTGTCTGATGTGATTAAGTCAGGAGAAAGAATGACATTCTGTTATTCTGACATTCCATAAAACAGAAGCACTGTATGGTCAAACACTGGAGTGCATTTAATATGCTTTATTTCCAGAACCAACACAACCCCTAATCTGGTTAGAAGACTACATGCATCTCCTCTAAAACACTTGTTCTCTGGCACAAATGCATCCTATGGTTTTGCTGCCTCGGCCTAATATTACATAGCCTACATGCTTTATATTCCCTGAGCGCTGTCTCTTATGCATGGTTACACTACACCTATTTCTCTCTGCTGTGTTCTTGGCCAGACGTCAGTTTGCATGGGGCCGGTATGGGCAAAAATGGATTCATTTTAAAAGACAAATGCTATTGTAGGTCAAAGCAAGAGCCTACTGCCTTTTTATCATAGAATTATGTAGCTATAAAATTGATTGTATGAGAAATTGAGATCGTTTGAATAAATATCAAACATCAACATAAAATCATAATTGAACCTATTAATTTTCTTTAGTACATGCTCCTGGTCTGGTTGTGAATGTTGTATTAGTGTACATGTTATAAAAAAAAACGTTTGTAATTTTCAGTCTTTCATCAGTATTCACTACAAGGACACATTAAACTGATCAAAAGTGACAATAAAGATATTTATAATATAATGTGAAAACAGATTCCTACTTCAAATGAATGCTCTTCTGAGAACAACTTTTTTTCTTGAGCAGCAAATCAGCATAGAATGATTTCTGAAGAATCATGTTTTTTTAAATGTTCTCAGAACGTTTAAATCAACCATTTTTTTCTTGCTAATGCGAATGTCAGAGAAAACATTAAGGGAATGTTCCATTTATCATTTTTTATAAGAACAGTTCTTTTTAATGTTCTCTGAACATTCTGAAACAAGTAACGTTTAAAAAACATTTCAGACAAAAAAAAAAAGAACCATGAACCATGTCTAAGGTTTTTGTACTGACGTTTTGCGAATGTTATTAAAGCCCAGACGACGAAAGTTCTAGTAATGTTACTGGAAGAACTTTTTTTTGTTTGTTTTTTTCTTTTCATAAATTTGAGAGAACCTTGCCAGAACATTAGCCAATACTGACAGTGGCTGATTTTGAGCAGGCATTATGAATTATGCACGTGTAACTTTCCAATATGTGCAATGGGTCTGCTGTGGGCAATTTTTACCTTGGTGGTGGATTTCTTGTCCGCCTTGTTACCTGTTAAATGTTAAAACATTCAGGACATTACTTTTTGCATGCCTGGTTTCATTTACTACTAATATTTCATGACAGTTTTGCATATTACATATCACATGAAATCATAGAAAAAAAAAAAATCTGCATATTTCATGCTTCAATATCTACCTTTTGTTCCAGGCATTTGATTGCTTCTCTCCCTTCGGCTGTCCTGCGAGGGGAAAGACACAAAGACAGTTAGTTACCTTGACTGGAAACATATAGCAAGTGCAATAAAATCCAGTTGTGCCTGAGAGCAAGATAGAAATGTGCAATCTTCTCTCTCATTTGCGTCAAGATATTGTATAATGCTTCTCCTATACACTAAATATTGTTTGACACTTTATTCTATTGTAATAAATCAGTAAAAATTTGTATTTGTGAGTCAAACATTTACTTTCATAAGCCATAAAAAGCATTTTACATTTCAGATATTTGCGGTGTCATTTTTGCTTGTATTTCAAATGTTCATTTGAAATGCCTTTTTGTCTCACTCATGTCTCACTCTATGCTGTTGTCAATATTTACCTCCTTGCTTTTTGGCATCATCTCCTTTCTGATCACCTTTCTTCGGCTGCTCCTTAGGACTCTGAGGTTGCTACAGGGAAAAATAAATAAATAAATAAATAAAATTCAATCTCAGTTATCCCAAATAACAAAAGTATTTTCTAAGAGTGGTTTGCTAACGTTCCTATTAAGTTATGAAAACGTTATGTCTGAATTTTCTCTGAATATTTAAAACGACCAGTATTAATATTTTTTTTAAAAAATTCTTGGTTATGTGAATGCTATAGAGAAAACATTGAGAGAATGTTATTTTTATGTGCAATGGGTCTGCTGTGGGCAATTTTTACCTTGGTGGTGGATTTCTTGTCCGCCTTGTTACCTGTTAAATGTTAAAACATTCAGGACATTACTTTTTGCATGCCTGGTTTCATTTACTACTAATATTTCATGACAGTTTTGCATATTACATATCACATGAAATCATAGAAAAAAAAAAAATCTGCATATTTCATGCTTCAATATCTACCTTTTGTTCCAGGCATCTTGGCTGCGCTCCAAAGTCCTTGTGTCCTTTTAGAATAAGCAGTGCTGAGCCGCTGGTGCGGCCCTCATTTATGGTCCGGCCACTGAATGACTCCATGTACGGGCCCCCTTCGGGAAAGAGCTTCAGGAACAAGCAAAGAGCCCCGTCAGCTGTGCCTCTGCACTGTCCTGCCATGCCTCTGCTGAGCTCAGGTGAAATCATGGGTGTGTATGTATCTTTTGTACAGTTAATCCTTTTATTTTGCTGAACACACATTGATGGTTCGCTCCCACAGCTTTTCCCTCAACAAAGATATATTTACTAATTTTGAAATTTTAATATTCCAGTTTGAAATTTAGGGCGAAACTGCAGGCTAACAGACTCTGATCTACTAGTTCTGATAAATTATGTTAGTTTTACCAGGACAATGTTGTATCTTCATTATTTACATGTAAGGAAGAAGTGAATTGTATTGATATGCACAATGTTTAGACTTATCCAAACATGGCACAACTTAAATAAATCTATTATTTTTTGTTTTAGAAAATAATGGAATCTCTGTTGTTAATAGTCTGCTCTAAATTATTAGTCAAATATTTAGATAATTATGTTTATACATTAATATGTCTATGGATATTTGTAGTTTGTGAGCCTTTCTTCTGAGACATATGCCATGCTGTTGAACTTCACACTTGAACGCAGGGATATATTGACTTTTCTGATAGTATATTGACTTGATTCTGATTGACTGATGCTATAAAATAAATGTAAAGAAAACACTGCTGTTTAATTCTCGTGGCTAAGTGACGCGGCATGACCTGTCCATCTCCATCATTTTTTTATTTTATTATTTTTTTTTATTAATGCTTGAACTACAAATACAAAACAAAAGTGCCAAGGGTATACAGAAAAAAAACATAAAAAGTACATATTAACTATATCCATCTCCATCATCATACAAATTATTGGACAGTCTTCATTACACGCGCTGCGGTGACGTCACTATGCAGATCAGCTGTTGGAAGGGCGGGTCGGTCACGTGATCACGCCAGTCCCTTCAGACAGAATGAACCGGTGAGAGTCTCGCACGGTAGGTATCCTTTAAATACATAATTATTCATGACATTACGTTTCAGTAAATTAAACCTATTCAGAAATTGTTATTAGCGAGATATTATGGCCACAGGGTGGCTGATATGATTTTTTTGGGGGGATTGTAAATCGGTATGTAACGCCTGTTGTTGTTAGCGTCCCTGCTAACTGGGCTAATGCGTCAAAACATTGATTTTTAAAATAAACAATTTGTTTATGCTGTGCATAAATATGAATAATTTTGTTATTATATATTTCTTATAAACGTTGTGTTTACGTTAGTCATGTTGCATTGTGCTAGTGTGTGGGATGTTTGTACTATTTGTACATTAAACTGGGTTAATACGATTTTTTGTTTATTTGTTTACAAAATATGTTTTAGGCCTGTTAATTTGTGCATTTAAGGTATTAATGAAATACGTTTAACATTTTTTTTACGTTTGCATGTACTAAATTTAGTTATTTCTTTCTGCTTTCCTTTTTTTTCTCAATTAAAAAAAAAGATTCTAAAAATAATTTTATAAACGTTGTCAAGTTAATTAAACGTAAGTATTTCCAGATAACATTTTAACATTTTGTTTTAGTAACATGACAATGCAAAAGCCAAATATTTAACTTTGGAAACAATTTTTTTATTTACTTTACTCTTAATAATATAACAAAGAATAGTTTCCTTATACTATATAAATGGATTTTTACACATGAAATATGCAGCTGCCTTTACATTTATAAATAAATAATCATATTTATTATATTTAGAATCTCTCATAAGGGAATCATCGTATTTGGGGGTCCTTAGCATCAAAAAGTTTGAAAACCTTTAAATTACATTGTTAATTGCATTTATTGTTTATATTTAGGGTTACTTGTGTTATTTTGTCCCTCATGTAATCTTTTTAACAACAATTACGTAAAGAAAACTTGTATCATATCTCAACTGAACTGAATGATACAAATAATGCTTTGATATCTTTAGTTATTAAATATAGACTACCGCTCAAAAGTTTGGGATCAGTAAGACTTGTAATGTTTTTTAAAGAAGTTTCTTATACTCATCAAGGCTGCATTTATTTGATAAAAAATACAGGAAAAAATGTAATATTGTGAAATATTATTTATT